TTATTATTATTATTATTATTATTATTATTATTATTATTATTATTATTATTATTATTATTATTATTATTATTATTATTATTATTATTATTATTATTATTATTATTATTATTATTATTATTATTATTATTATTATTATTATTATTATTATTATTATTATTATTATTATTATTATTATTATTATTATTGCTGTGGGGTGCATGTGCTCACGGGGAGGGGGGAGCAGTTAAAATGAGATAGTACCTCCCCCAGGGGGGATGGCACAGTCCCCTCTCCTCTATTCTCCTCTCAGGATTTTGGGCATACATGCACACACACCCAGTGTGTTTTTCAAGCCACCAGGTCCAGGACTCAAACTGTGGATTCAGCCATGTGGAATCCAGCTACCTTAAGCACTACCCCACCGGCTGACCACCACCACCCCCCTGCCCCCTCATCTTAAGCAAGTCACCTAACCTGTGAACCTTGGTTTCCTCATCTGCAAAAGGGAAGCAGCTGTCATATCCATCGCAACGAAGGGCTGTTCTGGGGGCACAGCGAAGTCCCTGTGTACCCAGGGGACCACCAGGTATACCTTGGTGTCTCACCCTCTGGAGAGCACTCTACTGCACCTTTGGAACTGGGTAACAGGCAGCCCTCATGAGCCTTCCTGCCACCCTTGACATGGAGTAGAGAGAAGCGCCTGGCTAAGGCAGCAGAGTCTTCCTGGGCAGCTCAGAGAGCTTAAAGAATGAATGCACTCTGGCCTCCCCAGGCCCGAGGGCTAGGCAGATACCAGCTGGGGCAGAGGCAAGGGTGTTAGGAGGCAGATGGTATCCCAAGCAGGCCCAGGAAGGCTGGCTGCCCTCATACATGCCTGGCAGTGGGTTTTCTCCCTCCTGAGACAAACCCTTCCCTGCCCTTTGCTGCGGGCAGTGGGGCAGTTCTGGAACTAACAGGAATGTGGTGGTAAGTGCTCCGGATGCTGAGTCCCAATCTGGTCTCATTAGGACTCAGCCACAGGCTAGCTGTAACACCCAGAGCAGTAATGAGTCACTCAGCGTGCCACCCTCCAAGGGGACCAGAGTAGCCTCTGCACCCAGGACTCCAGGGTGAGAGGGACTAGTGGGTAGGAAACACTTCTAACAGGCAGAAGCTGACAGGCAGTGTGGACTCCAGTCAGCCAGTTCCTAGCAGGACAGCTACCTGTGGGCCGAGCTTCAGCTCCCAGCCCTTAGGGTAGTGTAGGTGAAGGAAGTGCCCTGGGAGAGTGCGTATGAGGCCGGATGTGAGCACTGCCCTACCACCTTGAAGTTAGACGTTCCACTTGAGATAAGGTTGGTTTATACTTTAATCCAGGGAAGTTCAGTGGGGGGTAGGAGTGTTGGCCAGTGGCTGAGGACCAGTCACCTTAGCCTGGTTGTCTGGGCGGACCCAGCCTGGAACTTCACCATTTCTCTACCATGCTGGCTCCCACTCTCAGGTCTCTGCTCTCAGTGCCATCTGTGCTGGCTTGTCCCTAACTTTGAATGGCTTGAGTTTTCTTTCCTCGCCTCAACCCTCCTCAGTCAGGAGACTTTGCAGCGTGAGTGGGCCTGAATTTCCTTGAGTGGATGCTAGGACTGGGTAGGTCATGTTTGCTGCTCAGTTTGGGCTTACTGTCCCTCCTTTGCCCCCTTTTTATGTTATCTTTGGCCAGAACCCTGCGTATTTGAGAGCTCTGGGCTTAGGAGGTGGGAGCTGCAGCCTCCTGTTCCAACCCCAGGTCCTCTGGGTGGGTGGGGAGAGAGTGAGCCTGGGGAGAAGATTAGGGACAGGGCCTTACTCTTACTTTCTGTAGTACCTGAGTGGGAAGGTAGGGTATGGGGCAGTTGAGGTGATGGGTGATTTTCTGAGAGACTGAGGATGCCCTGAGTGGTCCTTGAGTATAATGGGCGTACCTTTTGTTACAGATGGAAGAGAAGAGGCGAAAATACTCCATCAGCAGCGACAACTCTGACACCACTGACAGTAAGGCCTTCCGGTCTGGGGCACTGCAGGGAAGCCATCTGAATAATAATCAGGCCCACAGGCCCAGGTGGGAGGGGGCTGCCCGTGGTCTCAGCCCCACCAAGGGGCATGTGGATGAAAGAGTTAATCAAGTCAGGTCCCTCTGCTCCTAAGAAAGTCCCTGCACCTTACCATGGTCTCTAGGACCTTGCTGTCCTCACTGTAGTCCCCCTCACTCTTGGTCTCTGTTCATATCAGCTCTTCTCTGGGACTTTGCATGTGCTACTTCTGGCTGCTAGAAAAATGTCCTCTCCCTCTGACCTCCCCATTGAGTCTGGGCCCTTCTAGGAAGTCTCCACACAAGAAGGTAGAAAACCTGTCACTCTTTGGTGTAATTACCAAACGAGTATTGTTTCCTAACCAGGGGCAAGCGCCTTGGTAAGAAGTCTCATGTCTTGCTCACTGTGGTCTCCAGCCTGACCTGGCACACAGGAGGTGCTCAGTACATGTTTGATAAATAAATTAGTCTTGGGATCTTGGCAGTAGAACCTCAGAGATGGACTTGTATATAGGGTGGGTGTGTTCTCTGGATGTCTGGTGTTCGGGGTTAGTTGAGTTGTCAAAGAGAAAATGGGATTTAAGGAACATCGTCTGAAATTTGGGAGAAGGGAGGTTTACGCAAGGCCATAAGGCGGCTCTTCTCAATGCCCCACCAGCCGGGCCTGCCCATGTGTGTGGATGAAGAGATTCCTCTGCCATGGCTGGGAGAGGCACGCTACCAGGAAGATCCCACCCAGCACCGATTGCTCTGATGAAGGCCCAGGCTAAGGAAGCAGCTCCACTGTCTGGAGCCCTACAATTCCCAACCTGTTTATTCACATGTGTGATGAGCAGGTGGAATTGGGGGATCGCCAAGGCTTCTCCTAGCTCCCAAAGTTCCACAGCACCCAAGACCCTGAGGGTAGGAGAGCAATCAGGTCCCAGCCCCTTCCCTTACCTCCAGGTCTCATTTGCTGTCCTGAGGCTCTGTACGCCCAGTTTGGCTCCGGTGTCTCTCCTGGCTAGCGCTTCCTCCTGGCAGGGGGGCTCACAGCGTCCAGCCTTTTGTGGCTACAGCACACCGCTTGTGGCCTGGCCCAGTAGAACTGAGAACCGCATTCTCTGCTTCTAACTTTATTACAGGAAAAGGCACCCTTGGAGAGGGCGAGACACCTACAGAAGTGGGTGTCTGAGCAGCTGAGCCCTGGAGGTGATCAGAGCCGGATCAGGCTGGGGCTGGCTTCCTCCTTACCAGTCCCCACTCCGTGCCCACCCATGGCTGCTACTCCTGTTCGACCAAAGCCTTGAGGTCACCTCTGGCCCTACGTGCTGCTCCTTGGACTCATAGGAGTGGAGGCTATAGCCCTTTACTTGAGCAAGGGCCTTAGATCCTAATAACAGCTACTGTTTACGGAAGTCACCATGTGCTAGGGACTGTGCTAAAACTGCAAGCACGGTGTTGTTTAACCCTCATAGTGCTTGAAAGACAGTTATGCTTTTGCAGCCATGTAACAGAAGAGCAGACTGAGGCTCAGAGGAGGAACACATCTGCCCTGGCTCCCGAAGTAGTCAGCAGCTGGGTCATGACTCAAGTCTGATGGCCCGTGGTACTGAAGAGTAACGCTGCCGGCTGCCCTGGCCTCCCTCTGTGTACCCATTGGGCATCACCCCAGAGGATCGGGACAACACCAAGCTGCGGCAGGGTGGAGAGTGGGCGTCGAGCACTCATTCCAGTATTCCACCTCTCCTTGACCAGAGAACAGAGGACCAGAGAGGGCCAAAGATTTGTCTGGGGCCCCATAACTGCCTGGATTTCACAGGCCCCTTGCAGATGATGAGTGGGGAAGGCCACTCCCTGTTCATCAGTGCAGAGACTGAGGCCCCAGGCATGGACAGTTCACCAGGGACTCACAGAAGCCTCCGCCTCCTGAACCTTCAAGCAGAGCTTCCCTTACAAGCTTCTTGTGTGCGGGTGGTGTTCCTGGTCCTCCAGGGACCCCTGATGGGTTGCTCTCTTTCTGCAGGTCACACTACATCGGCATCAAGATGCTCCAAACTGCCCAGCAGCACCAAGTCGGGCTGGCCCCGGCAGAACGAAAAGAAGCCATCAGAGGTAGGTAGTGACAGCTTCCTGGAGAAGAATGAGGCACAGGTGGGAGGTGAGGAGCAGGGACACCAGGGGACTGAGAGTGAGCCATGGGGATGTTCAGGGGAAGGCTGAGGGCAGGGGCGGTGCCATGGGTGGCCAGCATGGCTGAGTGAGTGGGGCCGGGAAGCCAGTTCCCCTCAGCCTCGTGGCCATCGCAGAGATGTTCCTGTTAATATAAGCAAGAGCGGGAGCCTCTCAAGGATCATCAACCGAGTATGGCATAGTCTGCTGTTCATAAAAGGGCCCACTGGCTGCCGTGAGAGGAGGGAGACCAGCTGCATTTGTCCAGGACAGAAACGACGGTGGCTTAGAACTGGGTGGGGGCAGTGGCCTAAGAAGTTCTAGGATTTGGGGGTGGCAGGTGGTGTGGTGATTAGGGCACTGGACTTCCACATGGGCGACCACAATTCGAGTCCTGGACCTGGTGGCTTGCTTTCTCACCTTCCTTCTTTCTCTGTCGCTCCCTGGTCAGATTTTTTTAAATTAATAATAATAAATAAAATTAAATAAAGTAATTCTTAAAAAAAAGTTCTAGGATTTAGGACATTATGAGGTCATGCCAAGAGTGACAGGATTTGCAGGTGTAAGGGTGGAAGATGGGGTTCTCAGGGCTGTCCAGTTGGTCACAGGCTCCTCACAGAGCCTACTTGCAAAACATGTTAAGTATTGACATTAACATTATCTTTCCTTTAAGTGGGAATTTTGGAAGCCTTAGGGCCACATTCATGGCCAGTGTTGCTAATTGCCACATCCACAGTCCAAAGTCTCATCCCTTACTTTGGGCCATCAAAATGTAAGTGAACCTTGTATTTCAAGCCCCTTACAAAGAAATTTTACTTTTAGATCAGCCCTAATTTTCAGTTTGAAGAATTTTCTTTCTTTCTTTTTTTTTTTTTTTTTGTCAACAAAGGCTGAACTAAGGGCCTATCCCTCTTTAGGGGATTCCTACTTAGTTACAGGAACAGATGAAGCAGCCAGAGCATTACGAGGTGGGGATTTTGAAATCTAACTCTTACCCACAGAGTAGCCAGGTCCTGGCTGGATGCATTTTTAAAAATATATTTGCCAAAGGATGCAGGCAGTAGTCAGAGAGAGACTGGGGTGTGGAGTGGGGAGAAAGCACCCTCTATAGGGCATGGTCACACTGCAGTCCCTTCTCTCCTTTTGGGATCCTTTTGGGATTTTAGGCACGCATGCACACGCACCTTGTGTGTTTCTCAAGCTGCTGGGTCCAGGACACGAAACATGGGGTCGACCAGGTGGGGCCCATTTGCCTTAACCACCAGGCTGTGGCTGGCCCTGGACACTGCTTTTTGATCATTTAAACAAGACCAGAATTCTCAGTCATCCTGCTGAGGATAAGAAACTGACAGATACCAAGGTCACATAGCCAAGGCCTGAAGTCCTTGGGGTAACAGAGCTGAGAAGAGGGGGAAGGCAGAGAGGCATGGGGGGCGGTGGTTGTTCCTGGTAAACTCTCCGGCTTATCTCCCCAACCCTTCCCCTCACCCACTTTGGGGCCAGCCCCTGAAGGGGAGGGGGTCTTCCTTAGAACCTTGCATTTAAAACAGGACTCCACCTCCTCGAAGCTGCCCTATCCTAGGGCTCTCTGGTAGGTGGAGGCGGCATTCTTTACCTCAGTCTGGTGTACCTTCCACGGCTGGGGGGCGAGGGTGTGCAGAAATGGATTAAGATTTCTAGGAATGCTGGTAAGGAGGGGAAGGCCATGCCTGGGGTGAAGTGGGGTGGGAGGACTCTGCTTTGAAGCTCTTTCTGCCGTCCTGGAGTAGCCCTGTTGGGTGGATGGAGAGGATGTGTTTAAGTGTGGCCAGGAGAGCAAAAGGCCGGTGGGCTTCTTCTCATGGTTGTTTGGGACCTGTCCCTAGTCCTGAGACTTACAGGAACTCCACAATTGCGGCGGTGCTCGTAGTAAAACAGCAGCCACCTTTTGGTGCCTTCCTGTCCTGGGAGGCAGGAACTGTTAAGCCCAGTTTGGACCGGAGGAACCGCCTACCCAGGAGCCCACCAGTCTCCTCTGTCATTGGTTGGAGCAGAAGCCTATAAAGTTCCCAGGTGGACTCTTTGCCCCGCCTCGCGGGTTGGCTCCACCCCCTGCCTTGCTCCCTCCACGCCTCCTTAGAGGAGGGGCCCCCTCCCAGGATGAGGCCGGCTGGGATCAGGCCCAGCTAGCTGGGAGGAAACAGGTGTCTGCGAGGCTGAGAAGAAAGAGCAATTTGCATGAGGCAGAAAATTCCCCTGCCTCTTGGGCTTTCCAGATCAGAGTCTTTGTATCTTTCTTCACTTAAAAATAGACTCAAGCCATGGTAAAGGTATCACTACCCGGCTCTCCTGAGACGGGACAGGGCCCGAGCCTGTGAGCCTTGTCAGGTGGCTCCCGGGCCTGAGAGGGAGACTCCTCCCCGCCTGGAGCTGTGGCCAAGGACGCGCTTCCCTTGCACGGCGTGCTGGAGAGCAGCCTGCAAGTCTTCCCTCGTCCCCTAAGTAAGAAGGTTGAGCTGTGTGGCTGGCACAAATTCTGAGTTATCCTGGGGCGGAGAGGAGAGGAAGCCGGCAGTGAGAGCTTCCAAATTATTTGGCTCATGAGAGGGCGGGGTCTAAAGCGAGGATCTGGCCGCAGAGTGTTTGCCCTAGGTCTCCTCGCTGGGCTGCCCCCTTCCCTTTCTGTGAATGGGTTGGGGGAGGGCGTATATTTATAGTACTGGACCAGGGGGCCAAGGGCTTTGGACACCCTGGTGCAAGGGGGCCTGGGAGCCCCCTGTGAAGCCTGTGGTGTGGCTGTCAGGCTAGTCACAGTCTGCTTTTCGTCTGGCATGAGTTCCCAGTGGGAATGCTTACAGAGCAACGTGCATAGTACAGAACCCCCACCCCCACGCACACCCCGCCGCCCTGGTGACCGCGGAGCTGAGGAACCCTCTTCATGTAGAGAGCTCACCGGCATAGTGACGGTGTGCTGAGAGGTTTGAGGACCGAGGTACTTAGCGTTAGCACTGGCTATGACTACCCAGCAAAACCAACAGCTAGCTGCCAAAGGGCTGAGCTTGCGTTTAGGCAAAACTGGTGACACCGCCCTGGGATGACTTGTCGGTCTGCCTTGTTTGGTGCACCTTGAGGGTACAAATGAGGGGTTCTGCGCACAGACTTGGGTGCCCCAGGGCTGAAGAAAGTGCTGGACCAGGAGTCAGGACCCTGGACAGGGCTGAGGCCTTGAGGCCCAGCTTCCCTTCTGGCCCTTACCCAGTGGATGGCCCTCCCGCGGCTGAGTAAAAGGGAGTGCGGGCCTCAGTCCTGAGGGCTGGGATAGGACCTGGGAGCCCTGGCGGCTGGGTTAGAACTTGTAGTGGAAGCGCAGGAAGTCAGAAGTCTGCTGCAGGGTCCCCGAAGGCAGTGGAAGGAAAAGGTGGAGCTGCCCCAGCCTCCTCTGTGCTGCCTCCCAGGAGCTTGGCCATCAGGGCAGTAGTGCTGAAGGAGAGAGAGAGCTGGACCTCCTTGGGGAACCTTGTAAACCCTGCTGGGGCCTTGTGTTTCTGGCCTGGCCTGTCTCGCAATTGTTAGTTTAACCCTTTGCAGGACACATCTCTGAGAATCTGACGGAAATCACTGACCAGAGATGACCTTTTTTCTTTCTTCTTTTTATTTTTGAGAGATTCTTGTTACAGGGCACATGCACTCGCCAGAGAGACAGACAGAGATAGAGAGAAAGTGAAAAATAACCCCTCCCCCCAAAGGGGATGACCACATTCTCTTCTCCATTCTCCTCTTGGGATCTTGGGCACACATGCACATCTGCCTGGCATGAGTTTTAAGCTGCTGGGTCCCTGACTCAAGCTGCATTGACCATGTGGGAGTCCAGCGCCTTAAACACTACGCCACCAGCTGGCCCCCAGAGACTACTTTTATTTTTAAGAATTATTTTTATTTAACTTTATTTATTTGTTTGTTTAAATTTGACCAGAGAGGTACAGAGCGAGAGAGGGAAAGTGAGAAAGTAAGCCACCAGGTCCAGGAGTCGAACTGCAGTCGACCATGTGGGATTCCAATGCCCTTAACCACCACACCACTTGCTGGGCCCCAAATATAACCAATACCAGATCTCCATCCTGCTCCACCCTCGGCTATTCTGCCTTGAATGAGTTGGGCCCTGGTGCCTGCTGGAACCAGGGTTAAGAACCACTGCCACTGGGACCAGCAGTTAGCGTAATGGCTAGGTCCCTGGACGTAGTCAACCGCAGTTCACATCCCAGACCCGGTGGCTTAAAACTCATGCTGGGCACATGTGCGTGCATGCCCAAGATCCTGAGAGGAGAATGGAGAAGGGCGTAGCCATCCCCCCTGGGGGGTGATTTCTCGCTTTCTGTCTCTCTGTCTCTCTTTGTCTGTCTGGCGAGCGCACACGCCCTATAGCTAAAAAACCTCTCAAAAAAAAAAAAAAAAAAAAAAGAACCACTGCCACAAACTGCCCCCCATTTGCCTGAGACTCTGACTGGATTGCTCCCTAGGAGCTTCATAGGCTGGGGTGGAATGGGGAGGCTTTCCAGTCTGATTCAGTGACCTAATGTAAGGCTGGGAAGGTGGGTGGGCACACTTCCCACATCTGTTCCCTTCCTTCGGGGACTAGGGGACTGACCCGTTTCTGCCAGCCTTGGACCTGCAGGGGCATAAAGGACAGTCCTGGTAGAGATCTGAACCTCAGGTCTGGGGCAGAGAGGGGGGGAAGGGCGGGGGAGCCAGTGGGGTTTCCCCAGGCAGACTTTCTGAGATAAAAAGCCATGTTTTCAGGAAGTCAGAGTCCCCAGAAGCCAGCCAGGCAGAGAGATGGGTCTTCAGAACCAGGAGCTGCTGATGCTGATTAAAATCAGCAGGTGCTAGGGCTGGCAGGTGGTGTGGAGGTTAGGGGCACTGGACTCGCATATGACCGATCACAGTTCGAGTCCTGGACCTGTTGG